GTATCTATTATATTTACAGTATTTGTACTCTTGAGCAAATACTTCTATTGCATGTGTTTAAAAAAAATAAAACTATTGTACATTGGTTGAGCATTTAGTAACTGTCATATATGTTAATGGCAATATATTGAGGTTGTTGTAAGTTGTATTCTATTTCAATCAAGTTGAAATATTAATGAAAAATAATGAACAAAATAAACAGCATTAGTCTTTCAACCAACAGAAATCGAATCATTAATTCAATTCATCGAATATAAAAATATTTGATTCCTTCCATATTTTAACCCTTTGTTAAATTGAATGTTTTATTTACTAAATAATTTTAGATATAGTATTCTTTACAAAGTAATTATGGAATTGGGAAGGTAAAAATTTGGTAGAACTGCAATAACTTCTAAACCAACTTATTAAATTTATACAAAGGGTTAAATTGTGATAATACGTGTTACATGTAGTAGGCAAACAAAATTTAGTAATTTTACTTCTGTTGGATTGAAGATAATAAACATACCAAACCTGAAATGATTCTCTTATTTAAAAGACGTTGGACGCAAAATTTTCGATTTTTAAACACATATATACCGTTGAATTGGATAATAGGTAATTGATTTTTTTAAAGATTGTCTCACAAACAGAAAATTAGAGCATTTACAAATACACTGAAAACGTGCTGAAATTTACAATTTTCTCGTTTAAACGAACCGAAAAAAAGATTCACGTCGTCTTAACACCCTGTTCACAATATCCCAGTTTTTCCTCTTAACTACATTAGATAATAACTTACATCATTTAACGCTTTAACAAGAAAACAGTTTTACAAGAACTACGTGTGTGAATTTTACAACAATTGGATCTAAATATTAACCAAAACATTACTAGTTAAAACACAATTTCAACATAAATGAAATTAATTCTACTCTAACCGTTCACAACAAAACGAAGAAATTTAACAAATATTTTTAGAAAATTTTACAGGGTTTTCCTACGAATACTTCAAAGATTTTTATACATTCTTGCATTAGTTTTACGAAAATATACCAAATGAGTCCTGTCGAATTTCGGAAAAATTCCACAGGACGTTTTGGGATCGTTTTATTATGTTTGTATATGTAAAAAATTTAAATAAAACAACAACTCAGGTTTATCAAATAACCAATTTTAATTTTCCATGTTAGTGTCTAATTATTGACAAAATTTTCAAAAATTCGTATCAAATTTGCATGCACGAATTTCTCATTATTATCAACGAAAATTCACCTGTTTTTTGTAGTACAAAGATTCGCGAAATTAAAACCTTATTTTAGATTGCTATGGCACTTACAATATGAATTAATCGATCGATTAATTAAAATACATACTTTCCGTTTTGTTTGCCTTTTTTGGGAGATCTGTAATAATCACTCTAAAATATGAGTAACATACTTTTACAAAGCAGTTTTTAAAGGCTGCACTTGGTACAAATAAAATTATAGGGTATTCAAAATATGAGTATTTTTAAATTCTTTAATTATATACAGTGTGTTCTTTTTGATTAATTGCTTGGATTGGCGTATCTCCAGACCAGAGGCCACTATTTTAATATAAATTACAAATATATTTGTGAAGAAAAAATTAGCCATGTTATAGTAACTATAGTAACACACTGTATGAATAATAAACATTTCAATCATTTAACGCCGGAAAGGACCAAAAAATATATCGAATTTCAAATTATCAACAATTTAGTTTGACCAACAAATAAAGATCTAACAAAATTAATTTATTAAAGCTCAATTAACGCGCCAGGGCCTTTTTGGTGTCGTGATAAAAACGCTTTCGCTTCCACTCGAAATCTTCACGCAATTTTTCCGCCAAATTAAATGCCGTTTGAGCAACTTCAAAAATTAGTAATTCAACCTGTGCTCTTCGAAATACATAGTCTCATTACGGACCACCATGCATACGAAACGGTTCCGAGTAATTTTCGAACCGCCCTGCATAAATTAATATACGAGATCAATGAAATTTTCATACAATAAATACCTACTAAGACTAAATGAAAATCAATGTGGGAATGTGGAAAAAATTGGCCCAAAATATCAGTCTTATAACGCGTTTAAACTAATATAATTTATCACAAATAAATAGTTCGAAATTGCACCGATAGTAGATTTGAAAAAAGCGTTTTTATCACTGCTAATGATGTGAAAACTGAACAACCGAACTGGGATATCACACTTCGCATCTAAAAAAGCCACCCCGAATCCTCTGCGATGTGTAAAACGCACTTTTAATAAAAACGCAATTATTTACATAGAATTACCTTACACCTAATTAAATGCTATCACGTTTTATGTAAGTCTTGTAGCTCAACAATTTCCGGCTGTTAAATAGCCCTTCATTTATCTCTTATTAACTATTCTCGCGCCCAAATAACACCAGTTTCGGGAATAGTCCAAGGAAGACAACAGTTTATATGATTTGTAAATGCATAAAATTGCTCAAAAAGTAGAGATTTAAAGGATCTCATCAAGAATGAAGACAAAAATATTTTTAAACAATCACTGAAAGATATTACCTTCGTTGTTTTCACGTAAACTACTGATTGGTGGATTAAATTTATAGTGATTGGTAGCAAGCATTCTGAGCAATTTCTGAATTTTGAAAATATGTTTTCAATCTTTTTATAGCCCAAAACCGACGTTAGAGGGCGCTACATTGCGTGATGTTCTTTCGGTAGGCCTGCAAAATCTTTACCATAAAAAGTCGAATTTCACTTTTCGCTAAATTAATCGTATACAAACAATCTAGTATAAACAAACACATTTACAAAAAGATTTGGTTCTTTAGTTACATTATTTATAGTTTTGACGGGACCTAAAAGACAAATCAATATTTACAATTTTACATTCGTCCTAACTTTTACATTTTACATTAACTTTAAGACAAAATCGAAAGTGGTCGCTCGAAAAAATCGCCTTCAAATAATAGATTTCTAACGAGATCACTTATGTTTTTACTGAAGAATGCTTGGAAATAACGGAACCCACGAAAATCAGAACCTCAAATCTGTTATGCAGGTTTTGCAACTGTTTTAATCGTATGGTAAAAAAAACGAGTACCAACACCAACTGTCTTTGAAATGAACGACGCAAAAAATCCTGAAATTACTATTTCAGGTTTCGGTTCTATTTGATAACAGCCTGTAAATCAAACTTTAATTCAACGTAAAATTCGTATTTAAAACAACAATTCAAACTCAACAAAAATGATATATTGTAAAAGAATTAGCACGATTTATAAGGATGCATGGTGTAGTATAAATCGTGCTTATAAAATTAATGATAAAAGTGTGTTTTGTGGTTTTTGGTCATTCATTTCAAATTTTATAACATGTAGGTAGAGGTGTATAGACCCTGTATAAAAAAGTTAAACTCTAATCAATGTATATATAGAATATATGTATAAAAACGGTAGATCATATAAAGAATCGGTTTCAAATACCATCACCATTTTATCTGTTTTATGTATATATTGTATAAATTGAATATCTATTATTTTACTGAAGACACTGTATATGGATTGGAAACATTTGGATTTTTTCGTATCAATTTTTCCATGTCTCGCCATCTCCAATTTGTTAAATTTAAAATCGATACCAAACAATCCAACGTTTCCACTAAAATGTGTACTGTGGTTTTCAACTAATTATAAAAATATCGTTTCTATTGCAGTAAAGAACAACTCTTAAAAATATCTTTTATAATAATAAATATTTAATTGATATATGTTTATTTATTAACTATTGTATTTGTTGTTTGTTGGTCCCTCAGAACTTTGATTTCTTCTTCGCTTTTTTACGTTAATACCATCACAGGAATTTACTTTAATGAATGAAAAATTGGTTGTTTATCCAGTAAATTAAATTAGTTCTGTCATTTACTTGGAACAAACTAGATAAATATTTGAAAAACAATAAATTATGTTCCTATTGTATTTATTAATTCCTGCGAGTATTCGAAATTTTCCGCAAAAGCGCAAGAAACCATTGGCACACTGAGAAACCCTTTATAAAAATTATAACAAGGCAGGTTGTTGTTTGATTTACATAATAAAACTATTGAGGCACACGAATCACTATTTTTAAAGTTGTTCTTTTTTTGTTTATTGTGTTTGCGAGAATAATGGTATTTCAAAAAATACTCAGCATTCCGATTTATTTTCCAATAATTATTTCTATACGATACTTTTATCTTCAAAACACAACCTGTTGTTTCAACTCATGGTTGAATGTAATGTTAACAAAACGCTTCTTTAATTCTCTGTATAAATTATACTCGCAAAATAGTTCTTGAATTAGTTTGAGTATAGATGTAAATCATTGGAAAATCCTTCGGGACACTTCGTTGAATTATTTTTATGCGTCGGTAAAAAGTTAGAACCCGTCAAACAGTTCTATCTTTCTCTCTAGCACTTCAAAATTTACATTAAGGAGATCACATATTAAAATCTAGCTACAACAATAATATATACTCATTATAGTACTTTTTTGCTTATAGTATTGCCACTAAGTGAACAGGACACAATTTTTTTTTAAGAAATCTGAAAATACATTCGCATTTTGCGTGTACATGTTTATAATTATCCCGATATCCCAAATAACAAGTATACGTATTGCTTTTAAATTCGAAGTTGTTTTTATTAGATAGCACTATTTGAATTCAATCTGAAATTTGTAATCAATGTTGCGACTTTGAGATATCGGGTGGATGCAATTTTTTTTCGAATGTGCCTTTTCATTCCACGATGATACTTACGACCAAACAATTTGGCTCCTTACAGCACCATGTGATAATCACTCAGCAAAAAAATATCTCATAGATATTTCCTCGAAAATAGATCACCAATAAATATAACTTAACAATCTAGTAAGTAGTCCTCAAGACAACCGGGTGAGACTGAGCCCGAATGCCGGCAAGAGGTCACCCAATGCATGGACCCAATTGCCAGCTGGCCGTTAGTCACTGGGCCGGCAGCGGATTGGGCGGCTTGAACTCCGGATTAGGCGTTTGGAATTGCGCGACGCTGCTGGGAGGGTTGAAGCTGGGCGCGTAGCATTGGGGGAAATAGAGCTCCGGTTTGACCACCGCGGTGGGCGTCAGGCCTCTCGGTAACATGCCGTTGCCCGGTAACTTCCCGTCCGAACTGGTCGAGTCCCTTCTCGTTTTCGCCGCGTGCGGGTTCATGTGGTTATCGATGTGCTTCTTCACCTGATGACAAAAATAAATTTATTCAGAAAAATGTATCTTGTAGAAGAAGATGATAGCTTACCTCAGGTTCAGTGGCGAACCTTCTTCGGCAGTTGGGCATCGGGCAGCAAAACGGCCTGTCACCTTGGTGTGTCCTGGTGTGCTGATCGAGTATGGCCTTTTGCCTGAAATCCTTTCCGCATTGCGCGCACTTGTACGGCTTCTCCCCTGTATGGATCCGCAAATGTTGGTTGAGTATCGTCCGCTGTCTGAAGTTTCTTCCGCAGTAAACACAGCCATATGGTTTTTCGTTGGTGTGAATTCTGAGATGCTGCGTCAGATGGGACTGTTGCCTGAACCGTTTGCCGCATTCCGGGCACGGATACGGCCTGGATTCGATATGTATGCACCCGTGCTGCAGCAACGTGGATTTCTGTTTGAATTCCTTTTGGCAAATGGGACAGCGCACGTACAACGGCATACCTGGAAACGTAGGTCGTATGTATTTCGTGGCGGAGCCGAAGGTCGACGGCTGGAATATACCTGCTGATCTGCCGTGCTGTATCACGTCCGGTAATCCTTTGCCGGGCTGTTGCTGCTTGAGGTATTGCAACGCTCCGAAATTCGTCCCGCCGCCGAAAACTGGATGGCTCATGCCTTTGGCGTCCTTGAAGTACGCGGGGTATTGGAGATTCGTAGCGAGGCCGTTGGGGGAGAAGCACGAGGCTCTGTCCGAATTGTCGCCGTCGCCGTACGTCGATTGGACTTCTTCTTTTCCTTCGTCGGGCGGAAACGGTACGTCTTGAGGCCATAAAGTCGGATTTATGCCGTTTTTGAACACCAAATGAGGACTTACGTCTGTAAGAAAAATGTTTACTCTGTTAGTTTTGTTTAATTTTTAACGGTGACTGTGATCGTTGTGTGATGGTTATTTCTAAGTAAGTCGATTGCATATGAATGTGCTTATTAATTTTAAATCTTGATTTAAAATTATTCTAAATAACTTACTTAGAAATGTGAAACTACTACGAGTATGTTTGTATTACTGTCTTATGTCTTTTAATTATTATACTTCTTCTAGCTTTTTTTTAATTCTAAAGAACATTTTATTAAAAAAATAATAGTTAAAAATATTAAAAAGCCTGTAATGAAGAAAGTATAAAGTATTAAAAGAAGTACAACGATAAACAAAGAGTGAAGTGTAATGTCTATACATGAATTGGATGATGGGGAATTTGTAATTCAATTCAATTAGGTGCATTACAAGTGCAGTCATTGCCTTCTAAATGCACTAGAAGGCAAGTTATACCTGGACAATCATATATTTTCGCTCTTCTTTTACGGATAGACTTAAGAAAATTTTGAGCAAATCAAAAATTTTGGTAGGGGACATTAAACAATATACCCAAATAAGATTGTACAGAAATGTAAGTAAATTGAGAAATTTTTTTCCAAGTCTATGATCTTTCCACCAGTTTATTATTTCCACCATCTAATTCGAATTTAGTTAGTGATACTAACAATTAAGATACAAGAAAATTAATAGTGTCTGTAAGTTTAAATGCTTTACCATTAGAAAAACTTTTAAGTATAATACCCATTTAACCAGTTACTTATTTACAGTATACGATAGGGTTTGTACAACTAAAAAGTTTTCCTTTGGAAATAAAAATCTAAATACTGAGTAAAGAGTGAAAAACTAAGAAAAAATGAGTGTGGGGAAGTGCAGCAGACCAACTCTAACCGCCCGTCGTGCGGCACAACAAGCTTAGCCAAAAAAATTTGGTGGTGACACGGGAGGGCTGCGAGAGTGGCCGCCGCCTAAGAAGGAACGGGGCGCTCGCCTTGGTGTGTGCGGACGTGCTGGTTGAGGATAGCCTTCTGCCGGAAGTGTTTCCCGCACTCCGGGCACTCATATGGCTTCTCACCGGAATGGATGCGCAGATGCTGGTTCAGGATGGCCCGCTGTCTGAATGTCCGATCGCAGTAAACGCAGGCGTACGGTTTCTCGTTGGCGTGGATGCGCAAATGCTGCGTCAGATGGCTCTGTTGCCGGAATCTCTTCCCGCATTCCGGACACCCGTACGGCCTGCTGTCCGTATGTATTCTTTCGTGTTGCAGCAACGTCGATTTTTGCTTAAAGTCTTTACCGCACGTCAGGCATTTGAACAGCCTCAACTCCCCGTTCAGGCCGTTGGGCGTTTTCTTCAAACCGGCGTGTTGCTGTTGGATGACGTCTGGTAAAGATGCCGTACGTAAATCCTGCATTTGCGACGCGTACTGATCGATCTGCCCGTTGGCATCCGCCCCCAAGCTCGTCAACATTACGCCGGGCTGCTTGAGGTACTGCAACGCCGAAAAACTTCCCGCTCCCAGCATGTGAGGCGGTACGGGAGGCGGAGCGGCCGGCGGCGGAGCTCTCGCGTACTGTTGGTACGCTTGCTGTTGTTGCTGCTGTTGCAAATCGGTGGAGAAGCACTGCGACGCCGGCCGCGGCTCCATGTCCATCGTCGGTTGATCGGGCTGGATTTCTTCGTCTCTTTGTTCGGCTTGCGTGGCGGGATACGGGGATGGCGCTGGCGAGGGAAGACTTTGGTCTCGGGGCGGCACGCTGTCCGCCTCCACCCCCAACGGGACCGTCGGACCGAGGGTTTGTTGCGGGCTGCCCGCCGTCGTGGTGGTGGGTTGTTGTTGAGGCGGCGGGTAGGCGTCCTGGGGACCCCATTGGCTTTGCGCTCTGTCCATGCCATCTTTATAGAGTACGTAAGGTGCTGCCGTGTCTGCAACGAAATAAATGGAAATAGGTAATTATTTCGGTTTAGTAAATGTGCTAAGATAAATTAAGAAGAGGAAAAGGACGATTTTAGGCGGTTATTTTTATACCTTAGAGTGAACATAGTAAACGTATAATTATCGCGAAAGAGTTCTTGGCGACAAAACGTTGCGAGATAGCGGTCATATAAATAATGTCTGCACATTTAGAGAACCAACGCGCACATGCACCTGACTAACAGATTTATTTTCGACTTTCTATAATTAGCGAACGCGCTTGCACTCTTTCGATCAAGACTTTAAGTCTTTGTCAATTGACCCTGCTAAGCCGTTTGCGAAAAACATGAAGTTCACAAAGGAACTTTGCGAATTTATTAAAAAATTTGAAATGTTCTATCACATACAAGAAATTAATTTTACTCACAATTTTAACAACTATTAATCGAATGGTTAGACAAAAAAAATAAAATAGCCATTGTGGGCTAGAGCCTGACCTGTAGCACCAAGATTGGAGACCAGCTTAGCCAGCCTCTTTCAAACGGGTTCACTATGTCTGGGTCTGGACGTCTAGCGCATTTATAAGATGTGCAAGGTCAAATCATTATCTACGCTTTTATAAGTACGGTCGTGAATAAACGTTCGAAAGATGTAAAAAACCGAAGCGATTATTACCATATGGCTAATTTACTCGAATTAACTACCAAATCTTGGGCCAACCAATCGTTAATTTAATCTTTAAGGTTTTATACTGCTCCCTGTAATATGGGGTGGGATTGTTAGAGTATTGAAAAAAGTCAAATTAGTATTCTTGAACGATTGTTACAAATACTTATTCATCTGCTGAATTGATTTTCCAGTAGTTAATTATTAAGCAACAGAAGTAATTAGCAACTATTTGGAGAGCTAAATGTATAACCTAAATAATTAAAGGGAATTCCATTGTACTTTTACTATTTTAAAAGGTTTAGTACAGAGATGATTGATGGGGGCTCTTCGCTTAATATTGGAGTAGTTACATACTAAACAAATAAATTCCTATAAATTTTGCCAAAGTAGTCCTCATTCTCTACTGGATCTAGTTCGCCCACGAGTAGTATTTTCAAACAAACTTGCGATAAACCGCTCGTAATGGAAAATGATGAACTAGACGCGAATAAGATAATAATTAATCGCCTAAAAATAGATTTGCATAATTCGTGAACGTTTATCGTTTTTGTTTGGGTTTCGATATTCATTTTTTATAAACAAAAATGCCGCTGTTGTTAATTTAGCTGCGCTTCTGTCTGGATGTTGTCGTTACGAAACGAAATTAGTCTATTAATTTTTAATTTAATGAGTCACGGTCGTGTGGTCATGGTTTTGACTGTGGTCATGGTGAGGGAGCCGGACTTATGTTTTCGATAGAAAGTGTTAGTTTGTATAATACATAAAGATACTACTTCAATACTTATAAGAAAAAGCAAATAGTAAAAAGTTTGTAGTATTATTGGATTTATTGTGCACTGAAGGTGTTGCAAAACTTTTTCGTATTGTAAGATAACTTGTTTTTATTTTTTTAACGCTATCGTTTGTTTGGGTTTCGATAAATTCCCTTCCAATAAACAAATGCACTTTTATATATTTATCTAACTTAAATCGAATGCAACTAAAAATATTCTCGACAGGGTAAAGCTTTCACTTCTTCACAGTAGCAGAATAAATTCCAATTGCTTTGTGTTCCTGCCACAAATTGATCACTTTGAATAATGAACGCTTTGAACAGTTTGAACGTTATAAGCACGAACAGATAAGAGGAAAATTAACCAAAGATTTTCCCACATTTTTGCGAAAATTACCGAACTCCGTTTGCAGTGTTCCACGAAAAAAAATTAATAATAAATCGCGTTTACGACTCATAATGCTCTTTATGGACAATAATGATGAAGCGTTTATGATAATAAGGCAATAAATACAGCGTTACTCGGTTAGCGCCTTCATTAATATCGATGCCGCTCGCGAGATTATTTTCAAATCGACTCGTCGAATATTCCACCAAATCGATACTGATCAATTCCAAAATTACCGACGTCTTAATTAAAGCGCTTAAACGAATCCAATACATATCTGATGATTTAATGCGTCCTCATCTGAAACCTTTATACTAAAAAATCAAGGCAAAATTTAAATATATTTTAAGGAATTTCATTTGTTACTTATTCAATAATCCTGTGTTGATCGTTCCATCAAGTTCCTAATATTCTTAAATATTATTGTTGCATTGTTTGTTGTGCAACAATCAAAATGTTTCAAAATCACCAGAAGCATCAAATAAACGGCCCTTTAGACTTCGGAACAAATAATGCAATTCAAGTAAGTACATCGTCGCAGCAACTGGTCCAAACAAACTTCCCGCAGTTTTCGTGGAAACTCAAACTTTCCGATGTGTTACAAGAGCCGTGCTGATACATAAAGCCGGTGCATTCTCGCATACGCTTCCCGACCAGACGTATTTAATTAATTTAACCCTAAAAGTTGAACGAAACGCCAAGGTTAAATGACGAAGCGCTCACCAGCGTCATCTGCATGGTTGCGATGATTTTGATAGCGCGAAGGCGAAATCGTACGCGAACGTATGAAGAAGAAATTAATTTTACTATCGCATGTGATGATTGTTAATGATCTTTCAACACTATAGTATCTACAGGAATTCGAATATGTAGTATAAATCTCTTTTGTAGCGTTGTAAATGTGCCTCGTTTTGTAGTTCAGAGCTTCTCTTAACAAATTGTACCGAGTTTGTTTTTTTTTTTAAATCTTTACGAAAATCGACACACTCTGTACATTAAAATGTCAAACAAACAAAACGGAAAGGTAGCCCAATAATCAGCTGAGTCGATTCTTTTAAACACCTACAGTTGCATTAGCATCGTATAAAGTTTCAATTTTAGATGGGCTTTGCGTTGATTGATATTCGTCAACAAACAACATTAGGAAGTTGTAGATTGTGTTCAAACACATTTCACGGATATTAAAACAAATTTAAGACCAACTGTACCTACACGTTTAGACATTAATTATATTTTGCATTTCATTGCAAACTATTATTATTAATTTCTTTATAAAATACAAAATAATAGAGGAGTAAATGTTTCGTACATATCATAATGTTTATTTGTGTATTGTTTTGAATGAAATTTTCCCGCCGGACGACTGACCTCTTCTCGCGTTTTCCGTCTCGGCGCTATACCGTTTTCCGGAGGGAAAAAGGAAAAACGAGACGCGAATCCCAAGACCCATCGAACGAATATAAAGCGCGCCAACGAGAAGAAAACGAACAAAGAAATCGCCCCGAAACTGGTTTCTCCTGCTGCATCGAAAGATTCGCTTTTGTTTAATGTTCAGTAATGCGACGGAGATGGCCCTCGAAAACGACTGTGAAAAAAGAAGAAAAAAGCGCCGCAGAAGAAGAACGAGATGGATAGTGAGTGCGCTTTTATGGGTTTTCGATCCGGATTTTCGGTCGATACGCAATGGTTTATTCTCGAGCTCGTACTGTATGGAAATCGAAAGCGAAAGTTTACTAAAAAAATTTAATTAATGGATTTACACTGTTATCGATATTAATTTGTGTTACATATTATTATAAAAAATATTTTTCTACAGGAATTATGCAAATAATTTTCCTTAAAATTGTTATCAGTTATCAATAAATTTCTCCAAGTTTAAGCAATTTTTATAAACTTGAGACATTCTAGCAGATTGTAATTATTTCATAAACGGGTCGAAATCTTGTGCAACACTAATTAATTACTTCTTTTTCAATTGAATTTCATCATTTACTAAATCTTCTTCGGTTTTTGTACCTTCGTATTATAGTTTTTCAAAGTATTTCAACTTGTTTTCTGCCTTCCTTCCGATGAAAATGTTCTGACCAACTCAAATAGATTAATGTTAACCCGTTCATTTTGTTTATATGACCGTTGCAACGTTTATCATGAGCGAATTAAGTAATAACACATGCAATCTGCATAACAAATTTCGAAGAAAGGTTACAATTATCGGATTAAATGAATTACCAAAGATCATTTTCGATCACTTCAATAAATAAAATGCACTTGGTAGAATTGGATTTTACTGCTTATACTATCGATACTCGGGAAGAAAAATCGTCACCGCTCAGAATAGTCGGTTTGGTGAAAATATCAAATATTTCGAGGTAGGTAAGGTATCGATCGTGGCTCTTATGGACAATATCAGTCCGCATTAGATCAATAATTCGTTTCGTAAAGTTCAACCCTTAAATTATACACGATTAGATAGATTGCAATACCTAATAGATTAAAAAAATTGCTGAATATTCCATTCTAAATAATCTGTATTCCTCACGAGAATCAATTGTCACGGTCACCTTCAAATATTTGTTTATAAATGCGAATTATAGATGTTTGTAATTAATAATTGCAAACAAATGAAGAGAACAACAAGTTTTGTTATTTCCATTTGCTTCCCCCTTAATAATATTGCGATAAATTAACTAAATGGCTATTTATCTCAACAAAATTGTTGAAAATATATCGAAAAATTAAAACAAAATTAATTATACCTACATTATTGTATAATTTAGTAAATTATACTCATTATAGTATAACTAACAATTTAAATTACTTTTTTAATATCTAGTGTTGATATAAGAAGCAATATTATAACAATTAATTTAATTAATTACGTGCTAGATGAGTGCGATAAATACTGCTTAATTGAATGCAATAGAGATATTATTGTTGGAATAATTTGTTTTGAAAGTTTTACATGTAATACCATACTAGTCAATTAGGTAATATTGAGAGTATTTTCGGAGGTGAACTTGTGATTAATTACAACAAGAATTTCCTTTGTTCCTATTACTAATTTAACTGCATACAGTCAAAGAGTTATATAGAATCAAAGCAAAGCATGTATACAAGACCCAATCAAATAGAATTCAGCAGGAATTAATTTACAAGATGAAGCAATTAAAGATGTATTGAATTGATGCTACTGTAACTACATAGTTATAGGAGATAACAAACAAAAATAAGATAAAAGTTAAAAGGCAAGAGGGAAAAAAATATAAAGCGTGAAAGCGTGAAAAGACTTGAAGCTGTTACCTCGCACTATAAAATTATGACAATTTTATGACAAAGATGAGCGCTACTTTATGATGTTTACACCTACCATAGCAGCATATTTATTTCTAATAGGTGCAGCTGATACATTTTGATTAAAATAACAAATTTTGTAATTTTTCAATTATCATATTACCCGTAAGGAAGACCTTATGTATAATACAAGTCATCTTTATTCAATAAGGGGCACTTTTCGTCGAGTACCACGAACAATAGTAAGTTTATTCGATGTTTCTATAAATATTATTTCTCGAAACGCTAATGAAACCCGAGGTTCCGAGGTTGTCAGAATCACAAACAGTCTTTATTTTGTTGCTAAAGTAAAAAGGGGTTCTTTGTTGATCATTGCGTATAGCTTTAAATTGTACAGCGTTTATGGAATTTTGTAGAGTTGTAATTTTTCTGTATTTTTAGGATGAAATTAATGTATTTTTATAAATGTTTATGAGTTGAAGCGATAAATTGAATAAATTTAAATTTTATCAGCAAGAAAAAGCATGTGTTAATAGATTTATTGGAGGTGATTGGGAAGTGATTATCGTTTAAAATTACCTTGAGAAATGCAGTACATTATCTGGCGAGGCACCTTGAGGCCCGCTGCCAGACAGGCGGCAAACGATGCCGAAAAGTTGATGGCCATGTCGCCGGGGTCTCATGGGGGCACTGAATGTCACTTTCGCAAAAATAAAAAAATAACCACTAACAACACTCGTTTTATGTGCGGTCGAACACCAAGTACAAACGGAACGCGTCGCGTTTTAGTGGTGGCCTCGCGCGAGAGATGCGACCGACGTTATCCGGCGTCCGGCGTCGACGATTCAGCGGTGCCTGCGGTGCACCAGCATCCTTTTGGGCCGCGGCGAAGAGCAGAATCGGAGAAGAGTTACGATCGGTGGACGGCGATGTCGTTGCATACAATTTCGCCCGAGTTTTAGAGTGTCCATGGAAGTGGGGATGGAAGAGACTGAGACTGCCGTCGACCTCATGGCCGTCGTTCGGCTGTGATCTCTCTCGCCAGGTCCGCCGAGATGGACCGCCGGGCGACGTTGCCGTTGCCCGATGCTCGTGCCCGCTTTTCACCCGGTACGGTCCTTCGCTCTCGTCTGGCTGCACCGCCTCCGCCCGTCCGCCCCCGCGCGTTTCCCGCTTCCCGGCGATGCCACCGCCTCCGGTGCACGTGCATCGCGCCGGCTTGCTGCACCAGAATCAATATCACACATTATCGCAAAAAACTGACCCGACTCGGGCGCGGGGCTTTGCACCTTGCGCCCCCTCTTAGCCCGGTACAATTTTCAACCGAACCCTAATCCCTTTTTTTCCTATCAATAACATCAATATCGAATATTTATCAATCACTACATAGTTATAAAAAATTAACAATTTAATTAACAAGTCTATTTATTTTTGTTTTCAATTCAATATTAATTACACATCTTACATATTATTTACAACATACTTTAATTGGGTATACCAAATAAATTATCATTTGTTTAATAATTAGGAAGGTATAACGTATTATATACGTTTTCGTAATATTTATGCTAGTCACTCAAGTAAACTCAAACAAAGTCTTACATTATTAAAAACTTATAGTGAGATTTTCCATTAAATACTTACTCATTTTTCGAAATAATTAATTTTTAATATCCTCCAGTTTTAAGCATGAAATTTGTTCTTTTACAAAGGTATCAAAAAAAGCAACCCTTTGTTTAATTCATTTATATCATCAGCAGGTACTAGCTACTTGACATTTAATCAATAATTTTTATACATTTACTATGCACCCACACATCCAGCGTACATTTAAAAAAATTCCCCGGCCGGATAAATCAAATTTGGCGCAGCTTAATTTTCCTATATGTATTCAAATACTCAACTTACCGGCGTTTTCGAATCGCCAATTCGCCCGGACTATTTACCCTTTTTTTTTCGAGCGCGCCCGGTCCCCCGTCCCGCCGCATGCAACGAGACGGTCGGCGTCGCTCGTTCGCCAGCTAGACGGCGGTGCAGACGGCTACGCCGACGCCGACGCCGGCGCTGCTGCTGCTCCTGCTCCGCTGCCGGGCTTACGAAAACAACGCGCTCCGCTTTTCTATGGCTGTACCTAGACGGTGCATTTCCTGGGATGCGTCCGTGCGTTTACCGTCCTGTTTACCCGACGGGCTATTTTTTTCATTTTGCTATACCCGCACGTATTAAATAAAAATCGAAGCGGCGCTAGAAAGGGAGCGATTCGTATATACAAACGATTTTTTGATGAGGTGTGTTTGTACGGAATTTTGTCACGTTTCGCAAAATATTCGCGTTAGCAACAGAAACGGGAAGGGTGGGAAAAGAATAAATTTAATACTTTGCACGTTTCTATAGTAACAATTAATTCGAGAAAGTCAAAAATATGTGTATAGTCTCTGGGCGAATTTGTTTGTTGTGTTTCTGCTTCGACGATTCGCCTTTGATAAGTTCTCCCCTGATGAAATTCAACCGGAATTTGCAAGGGTTGCAAACTGTGTCAAACTTATAATGCGTAACTGTAGGTCAGGAATTAAAACAAGAAAACGGCGAATATTCGAAGGAAAAGTCGCAATTTGAGGTAGAACAATCCGCAAAATCAACTTTAACTGTTAACTTTAACTTCGTATAACAAACATTTCCATCACTATAACAACTCGTTATTTAATGGTACCTGTACAGTACTACATATTTGTACAATGCAATTAAACAAATTTCCTGTTCGATTTTAATTATAGAGCTAGATATTTTTTGTAGCAGGTATTAGACGATACACCGGGGTGTTTTGATGTTTGACGTGCGTAAATACTGCTGGAACTCCAATTAAGACTTTCTTCTATTTATAATCGAAGCAATTACTAAAATGGCCGGTAATTAGCCACCGCATCGCAGATGAGAATCTCTATACGAGGTATGCAATCCGAGTTTCCTAGTAATTATTCATAATAAATCTTGCGATTGCACAAAGTTTAAAAAGCCTACGCCTTGGAAATTAATCTGCTATTAATTGCGCCGTAAGTGAATCGAAATAGGTAAATAAACGATATCGAAAACCGCTACCGATATTCTAAAAGTTTGCAATTTTTAGATAAATTAATGCCGTATAGAATAGTAATTACTCGCACTAATAATATGCGAATTTTTGTGCATATAAATATTTTATCTCACCTACTAGTATAGAGGATTAAGTATAGTACAATTTGTATCTACAATAGCTGTTTGTACTTAAGGAAAATATCTTTTACAAAATAACCATTAAGACATTAATCTCTTTCATCGATAAAGCCATTTCCAACGACTCCTCTCGCGTACGTGCAAGCAATAACACAGCATCCGCTAATAGATCAAGTTTTATATAGCATACAGTGCAAAATAAGAACACCTTAGACCTTCATAACTAAATCAAAGACAAAACTTCTAAAAAAACCTCCATCTCAGCGAACAGCGACGAGGAGAAGCAGCAGCAGCATAAAAATTTACGACGCGTTCGAATTCAACTAAAAAGGCCTAGGTCGCCGAGAGGCCGGAGCCCCGAGGTTGAGGTAGCCGGTCGCGCGGCGATCGCGCTCATCGCCGTTTCGCGGGCTAGAAAATATTGGGCACTTCCACGGGCGGACCGCTGCCCGGTGGGATCGTCTGCAAGTGAGGCGATGCGAGAGGGGGAGGTGGATTCGTGGCCGAGCGAGACCGTGGAGGAACTCGAAACCCTTGAGAAGGTCGCGGCGACGGCGTCGCTGCACGAATGCGTGGTACGGAGCGTGCTGGTCTACGTCCGCGGGACGTTCGATGCTTCTTTTAGTATACTGAATACTGAATTCGATGGTCAGATGGGGGATTTTGTATTGGCGAGTGAAAGTTTTTGAGGAGTACATGTTGGACAATTGGATTATTTGCTACTGTTAGAGCGTTTTCGTACCTACTATAAATCTCGTATTGGCGAGTGAAAGTTTTCTAGAAGATAATGATGCTTAATGACTCTATTATTATGTGTATTAGGATGGTTTTTTTTTTGGTATGACCTAATGAGTTTTTGTGAAAGATGAACCAGGTTGATAAATTTATTTAGTCGCGATATTTTTTCGACAGAATTGTCCAAAATTTTCTTTTTATTTCTGAATCCATTTAGAAAAGTTTTTGTACCCTATTCTATCAAATTAATTCGATATAATTAGTCCACTTTTCATCGAGTATTATGGTACTTATTACTATCAATTTCTTCTTCGAATTATTCTGATTGCTATATGTAGATAATCCAGGTAGACCAAAGAAGATAATTAAGGATCTATTGGACGATATAGAGATCAAGGAGAGGATCAAGAAGAGAATCAAGGCGAGAATCTAGGAGGGAAATGATGAGAGAATCAAGAAGAGAATCAGGGAGAGACTCAAAGAGAGAATCGAAGAAAAAATCAAGAAGAGAATCAAGGAGAGAATTAAAGGATCAAGAAAGCCATAATCAACATTAGGTTCTATGCTGCTTTGTTCACTATACATTTTTTTATTTCGCTTCCTGCTTTTACTCGTTTCTTTTTAGTACTTAATGTTATTGTTTGTTAGTAATTGTATCTGTTTTGCCATCGATAGGTACGTTAGAAAGCTCGATTAAATTCGATAAAAAAATGTATTATGCATACTTAATAGATTTATCTAACATAAAGATCATAATAAACCGTTTGAAAGGTTTTTAAACAACAACCGACTTTACAAATAGCCCGAAGAATAATTCAGGTATTACAATATTAATAATAATAATTATTATCTATACCTTATATTTATTTTACAAGACCTAAAATTAATTCAATAATAGTCTTTTTGACTTTCTATACTCGTATAATAAAAATTTAAAAAATAATCCTAAACAACTAATAATATTCTGGGGTTTAGACAACGAATTTTCACCGGTAGAAACAAATCCGCGCAACTACTATCAGCCGGCATATACCTGCGTCTGCATATTTCCTCGGTTGGAAAAACGAGCAAAATAAAAAGGAAACCGTACGAACAAACAAAAATCACGTTTATTTTCGCAACGTTTCGTGCACGGTTTCCCGCGATGCACGTCGTGTGCATCACGCGACGCCGTCCGTCGCCCGTTTATATTTAGGCGACGGTCATCGACGTCGCGCGGCGTCCGACGGCGTCGGGTCGACAATCGCGCGATCGCCTCTCCCTTTCGCCGACCGATATAATGGGAAAAACTTTTCGCGAATGTCTCGATCAAGAACGAGAGACCGTGCGTTTCTCGAACTTGAATTTCGCCGCAACGGGAGCGCCGACGAGCGGCTTTTTTTCGATGGGAAAAAGCCGGCGGAAAAAATCCGAGAAATCGGCGGTTGTCGGAGCGTTTAGCTCGCGAATTGTAGAATTGTGTCTTTTCGTCCGAGACAGTTCGAATCTTATTCGTTTTGTTTTTTTATCTATGTAATAATACAGGTTGATTCATCGCAAACGACTCGTTATTTACGATCATTTTTTTACTATATTTCGTTGGGAATTCGAAACTCCATTTACCATTCACTAAGCACGCCGTGTAATAGGTGTAATGCCGCGATATTCTAGCGTGAAACGCAAAGTGCACAAATTCGAGCATCGAATATGTCATTTGCAAGGTCCAATAAACACCGTTTTTCACCGGATTAAATTAATTTATTATCAAACCGAAAACGTCGTTACGCGCAATGGACATTCCCATCTAGTAAAGACAACTCATCGAATCCTACACTTTTTGTCAAGTTTCAAAGAAATAAGAAACATAATTACTTGGAATTAATTTCGACAAAACGTCAAATAAGAGTACACTCCAAGTGTTTATTTTGAAGCCTTTATTAAACAGAGTAATTCCTCCATTACACACACTTAATTTCAAATAATCTGTATCAACAAGATATTGTAAAGTCTCATAACAATAAAGCAATAATAGTACATTAGAGGCTCTAATTGCAGTTATTTGTATCATCAAGCCGATCGGTATCGGTCCGTTTGTTTGTCCAAACGGGAGCAAACATCTCGGCCTCGCCTATTTGCCCCCCTACCCACCCGATCTTCTCTTATCTTCCACCGTTGAGCCGTAGCTTTTCAACAATATCAACTCCTACTCTTCGATGCGGATGTGGTCTCGTAGCGCCTCTAGCACACCTACTATATTTCTAGTACTGCACTAGCCGGTGATTGTCTATTATGCGGCGATAGCGATAGGCTCGGTTTTTTATTCTCTCTCCGCGTAGAGTACAAAAAATATAGCTGAAGAATGAGAAGAGGACGAAGAAAAAGAAGAAGGATTCGATTCGACGAGTGCTGAACAGGAACTACCGTAACCGTTCGAATGCAACCTTGCAGCGCCAGCGGTTGCAATGGGGGTTTCGAGCATAACAATGGTAGCGTTGGTATTTTGTTCGTGTAATTAACGTTTTTTTTTTAATAAATGTGATTTATGTCTTTATTCATTTCGGTCGAAATGAATACGTTCGAAAAACAATTTATAACTCGAGGCGGCTTAATTGTAGATTAGCCGCAGATTTTCAACTTTTTATTTATTGGTAAACTGGAAATTGTAATAATTAAGTACCAAGATATACATAACAATATAAATAGAAGAATTGATAGTAATAAAGTATAATAGAAAGCAGTTCTGTTGTAATTGTAGCAAAAACTGAAGGTGTTATTTCTAAGTTTTGGTGGTAGTTTAGAAGAAAAACTATAACAAAAATACGGAAGAGAGTACAGTTAAATCCACATTCTCAAAAGCCATAGGTACATTATAATTAATTAAGATATCATTTTCTCCAATGGTATTTTGAACCATTTCGATATGCTTCATTGGAGATACAAATCAAGAAACAAACTTTTGATGCGACAAAAAGAAAACCAAATGTGAACAGTAATTGGTCCGTATTCCCCTACGGGTATCGGAGCGAATTTTACGGCGAAAAATCGAAAACCGAGTCAGCTAAAGCCACTAAAAAATAATTGCGCAAATCCGACGCAAGAGAAACAGGATCTAAAAACGGCTCATTTAAAAGTAATAAACGAGAGTATCCTGATTGGAGACCCGATCATTTTCCACATGCAGATTTAAACGTCATTAGAAAGTAATCGCTGGCACTAACTGTATATCTGCTCCGGTCAATTTTTTCGCGTTATTTTCCATCTCCGTCCGAACGCAGAGGTGTCCATAGGTCGATCTCGACCAACGGACATACATAGTACAGCTACTTTAATTTAAATTATTCAGTGTTCTTTTTGCGATGCCTATTGCTTCGTTTGTTTATTAGGCCGATACAATTAAAATTTTCCTAGTTGATTACCTTATAGAAACGCTCAAATGCATGCAAAAAAAGAAATGTATTTTATGCTGTACGTATAAGCGTTAATGTGAATTGGCTTTTTGTTCTAAACATTATACACGCCGCAATGTCTTCGTTGATATTTTAAATCACCTTACGACACCCACTGAATGAATTAACAAACTGTTTATTACGGCTCTAAATGCACCGAACGTTATAAAATATTAATCGCGTCGAAATTCGCCCGGCCGAAACTGCAATAAACCAAAGCGCATCTTTATTGTCAATTTTATATGCCACAGACGCGGCGACTTCATTCTCTCGATATGCAAGGCACTATAAAGTTTGCCAGGAGTATCCTAAATGCTATTATTTTATTTATAAAAACGAACGCCCGATGCATTAAATATTTCTGTAGAGTTAGGATAACTTTCCACTTTACTAATGGCATCGCAAAATTGGCTAAAATCAAACCAATCCCTAACGTATTCTAAAGCTCTAAAAATAATATATTATTTTGCTCTGTAGGTGCCTATGATTAATTAATGAAATTAGGATTTAACTGTCCCCAGGACACAGGTACAAGTTTATTAAACCATCAGCAAAAAAGTGAGTTAAAATGTTGAAAAAACAAGTAGGTGCAATTGAAAAAATCGCAATAACCGTACAATTAATTAAGTAACTAAAGAAAACAGGTGCTCACAGCCTTTCGCGTACAGAGCAGAAAACCTATAAATAAACCTGCTAGGTACGAGAAAAGCTCATGGGTACGGTACGGGCGCTGGGCTCCATCGTGGACGAAGAAATCCCGTACATGCGTGGCCGGAGGCAGGTCCAGTACAGAAAAATGCGGCGCGTAGCTGCAGGTGTTAATGCAGATGAATGCGAACGCGGGCCGGCGGGGGGGCGCGCGCCGGCCGAGGGGGCGACTAATCAAGTGCACGATAACGCGGCGAAGGGGGCGGCGGGGGTTGCGTCAGGGGTGGACTGCGCGTTCGAGATGCCGATTTTTATTTTATCCGACCTTTTTTTTTTGGTCGTGCGTCTGAATCGGACCGAGAGAGCGTTTTTAATCATGCGGGTCGGGATGGGTGCTCGCCGTTGCGACGATACGCCGTCCACCCGGCCGCGATGGGTGAATGATTGGAAAGCGAAAGAGCGAATGCGGGCGAGAGACGGAGAAGGATATAATGAATTTGCTCTGTGCGATGCATTTTACCTGTAAAGTTTCAATCAACAGCAGATATGTGTGTTTGCTACCGAGCATCATAAGACACCCTTATCTGACTGTTTGTAATATCGTTCGAAAGTGATAGAGATGACATTGCATTGTTCCAGACAGTTTTAGAATCATTAGAACTGTTCAAAACAATTTAGAATTGTTCAGAATCATTTAGAACCATGAACTATCCATCCCAGGACCATTTGAAACAATTCACGACGATCTTTAGAACTTTTTCAGAACTATTCGGAACGATCCCGGACACTTTAGAAAAGTCCTTTATGTTCTCATCGCCGCAGGTATAAAATCCACAACCAATATTTTTTATTAGATTAGATTACATCAGTTACAAATAAAATAATAACATACACAGGTTCTATCGACAAGTGGTTCATAATTTAGCATCCTTAAGAAAACCGCCCTAATTAGCATCGCGTTTATCGACTGGCTTAAGTAACATTCAATAAAGAGATATATTTTTAAACCGGACAAAAATCATTAAACAAATTATCGGTAACATACTTAGGTAATGCGTTCGATCTTCTTTTTACATAAATTATGTTGTAAATCATCTCATAAAACTAATTTATTACTTATCTATTCGATCGCAATTATACCAACAATGTAAAAAAATATTTGAGAGCTTCTAAGGGGGGGCGAGTGGGGTTTTTTCCTCTGCATGCCGTTTCCCCCATTTCTGACCATTCAATATTAATTCTTCAGTCATTTCTTCAATCAATCTTGAATAAAAACGAATGAAATGAAGACAATAATAAAATGGCTTTTTTTGTTAATTAACCATATCTGGTATATTCTCAAAAAACTTTTAAACGAGAA